CCCCCCCCACTCACCAGATGTAATCCTTGTCCCCGCTCTCCGCCTTCTCAATGATGAGCTGCGTGTCGAAGAGGACGAACCCACACATGACCATCAGCCCGAGGTACAGGTTAGCCTGGTGGGGAGGAGGGAGAGTCAGGGACGAGCCCCCGAGATGCCCCCCCGTGTCTGTTCAGTGCAGTTCCCCCATGAGCAGCAGGGGCTGCCGTTCCTGCCCCCGTTACTCTCCCTCTGCGCCCCCTCCTCCAGCTCAGAGACTTGGGCTATGGGTGAACCTGAGCCCGGCCCCTGCCAGCGCCCGGCCGCCCTGCGTCTGGCTGGGAGGGCCCAGGTCTCGCTTGCCCCGGGGATAAGGCAGACACAGGAGGCGACGTTGCTGGCACGAGTTACCCGAACCAGCTCCAGCCTCGGGGTGGGTGCCAGGCAAAGCAGGCTGGAAACATGGCCCAGCAGTGGGAGTGATGAAGGCCTGATCCTGCAAGGGGCCCATCCACCTTTCCCAGGATCGGGCCCTGTCTGCCCACACATGGCTCCGGACAGGTTCCGTCACCACGTGGCCCAGGTGGGATCAGGCCTGCCTCCGGGACCCGCTCCAGCTGCCGCTCCCACAGCCAGGCCCCGAGACACCCGCCTGGCCCCAGTGTTGCTGGCTGCCGTTGCGGGGCGAGGGGAGGGGGGGCGGCAGGACCCCAATGCAGGGGGGCGGGACTCACTGTGAACAGCCAAGTGGACCCCACGAAGACGTTGATCAAGGAGAAGAGCAGCATCAGGAAGAGGCCAGAGAGCAGGAAGCCTGCGAGCGAGACAGAGGCGTGAGCCCCCCTGGCTGGGTGGGGGACGCTGGGGTGGCCGGGGGGGGGGGGGGGGGGGGGTTATCCCCCCCCGCCCCGGGAAGCTGCGGCGTCGGGATTCGGGGGCGCTCAGTGAGAAGCAGCTGAAGATCACAGCGGTGCCCAGAAAGGCGGTGGGGATGATGCTGCAAGAAAGGAGAAGAGGTGAGAAGCGCCAGGACGGACATGGGCGCCCGGCCCGGCCACGCCACGCCGCACGCTGCCTACCTGGGGTTGATGGCGATGCACATTTCCAGGAGAGGACATAGGTTGGCTCCTGCAAGGACAAGGAGACACACGTCAGTGACAGCAGCCCTGCCCCTGCCCCCCCATCATTGGCAGCCAGAGGCCACCTCGGGCTCAGAGTTTCTTCCCTCAGGCAGGTGAGAAGGGCCCAGTGCTTAGTGCAGGGAACCCCATGGCCGGACGCCTGGGTCCGCCGTGTGCCCAGCACTGGAGGAAGAGGCCCTCCACCCCAGGGCGAGGGGCAGTTCAGCGACGGACAGGATGGTAAGTGCTGTGGGTCCAGGCTCCCCAGGGGAGGGGCCAGCAAGGGGAGAAGGGCCCCTTTGCCCAGGAGGTTTAGGGGCAAGCACCCCCCACACGTACCGGTCAGGAAGGCAAAGCCAGCCAGAATCCCCAGCCTCTTCTGCTCCGTCTCCCTGCTGTGGGGCGTGGCCATCAGCCAGATCAGCAGTGCCAGGGAGCCCAGGCCGGAGAGCAGGCTGAACTGTTGGACAGACAGACCCCGAGAAGTTGAGCCTGGTGCGGGGGCTGGGGGCAGATGCAGCACCAGCCAGGCCCATCGCAGGGAGCGCGTGGAAAGGGAGGGGGCTGCAGACACGGGACACCCCCATTCTTATCCCAGCCCGGGGCTGCTCTACCCACTGAATGCAATGGGGGGCAGCACCGACACGCCCGCCTGGGCTGGCAGGGCACTGCCCTCAAGTGCTGGGCACTAGACAGGCGTCTGCAGCACTCCCTGGTCAATGGCTGCAGCGAAGGCATTAGGACTGGGAACGGGTACCCACGGTGCCCATTCGCCAGCACTCAGTCCGGGGGAAGGAGGTGCCCCCCGTAAGCCCACCCAGTCCCAGCACGGGGGACCGACGTGGCCACCGAGCATAGCCCTTACCCGGAGCAGATGGGTCACCACATTGATGTAGGCTCCGGTCGCTGCCACAAACATGCAGAGAGCAAAGCTGGCATAGACCCTCTTCAGGTGCTGCTGGGTGGAGGCAGAGCTGTGGGGCAGAAAGGAGCAAGTCAGCGACAACCAGGGCTCAGAGCTGCCCCCCCGGCCCGGCCCAGCCCACGGCTCCCCACATGGGCGCACTCAACCGACGGCCGAGCCAGACAGAGAACCGCCACTGGCACTGGATGGAGCAGAAACGCGGAGCTGGTGCCGCAGCGGAGGATCCCGAAGCGCTGCGCCCATGCCCCGGGATGGGGAATCTGAGGCAAAGCGGTTACGTGGCAGAGCCGGGACCAGAACTCAGGAATCCCGGCTCCCAGGCTCCAACCACAGACCCCACTCCGGCCCATTACTCTTTGCCCACGGGGATCAGGGCCCAGTGGAGCGATCCCCACACTCACATGTGGGAAAACTTGAAGAGCGCGTTGAAGTCAATGTTCCGGTTGAACACGTCCATGGCGTTGGCAGGTGGGTGGGATGCACCCTTCACTTCGGGGAACTGCACCAGCTGGAAGAGACAGGGCAGGGGGCTCATGTCAGTGGGGACCATGGCTGGACTCCGCTGCCAGAACCAGGTCCTCGTGCCCGGCTCCCCCAGCTCATTCCAGAGACCTGCCTGGAGATCCCCCCAGCTTGGGGGTCTGAGCATCCCGCTCTGTCCCAGCTGGCAGGGGGCGCCCACCCCATCCGACCCACTGGGAGGAAGTGACCTGGGAGTGAAGAAAGAAGGAAAAGAACCGTTCTCGGGAAGGGACCGTGCCCCCCCCCCCCCCCCCCAGCTGGCACCGCTGTGCTAAGACTGAGTGCCGGTGGCGTGTCCAGCACGGTCCAGGGGGACCAGACCGTGCCACGTCTGCAGCCATCTGTCATTGCAGACCAGGACAGAGTGAGTGACACGACCTGGCTCTGAGCCCCTGCTCCTGGAGGGGTCAGGTCCTTTCACCGCCCCAGCCCCACGCCAGCTGGGACGAGATTTCTGACTCACCAGGGAGCTGCCTGGCAAGGGATCTCCTCCCCCAGCTACAGAGAAACGCGGCTTCGCTTCGCCCCAGGCTAGCTCTCCTCTCGCCCACCCAGCTCTCTCGGCGTGGCTCCGGAGCTCTGCAGCTGTTGTGCAAACCTCTCTGAAGCTTCTGGCGTCTCATCCCCCCACCCGGGGCTCTGGGCCCAGTGTCTAGGTGGTGCAATTATTGCAGGCTGTTGCAGGGCTAGTCACAGGCTCCCAGCGAGCCCGGCTCCCCGCGGATTTCCACTTGGCAGGCGAGAGCGGCTTGTTCAAGGCTTCCATTAGCGCCCCTAATGACGTCCCAGGCGGGGCTGGCACCGGTGCTGGGTTCAGCCACCTGGGCAGGGAGCCTCCTTGCTCCCTGGCCCTACCTGGCTCCCTCCCACATTTGCCTGGTGCTGGGGGCTGCCACAAGGGAGTCAAATCCCAGCGAGAGCAGGTCTTTCCGGCGGGGGTTACTGCAGGAGCCCACTGTCCAGCGGGGGTGAAAGGGGCTGGGGGGGGAGCCGCGTGACTGGCTTGCAGCACGTTTAACGAGGCGAAAGCCCAGAGTGACGAGTGGAGCAGGAGCCAGCGTCCCAAGGACACGGAGCTCAGTCTGGCCACCCCTCTCCCGAGAGGGACGCAGAGGATGCCTGACCCCTTTGCTGGGGCTGGTCCCCAGGACTGTCGCTGCCAGCAGGGCCTGATGCACAGCTGCTCTCCTGCCCGGGAAGTTGGCTGGTCCGTGGGACCCTCAGCCCGAGCCACCACCCGTTGTGGTCGCAGTGCAGCCAGAGGGGCGCAGGGCTGGGCACTGCGATGGTCAGGGGCTGGAGAACATCGACTGCCTCGCTCTGTCGGGGGTCCCCCCCTCGGGGTATCCACGTGCAGCTCGGCAGCACCACTGGCCGGCCCAGAATGCCCAGGCCAGACAGGCACGGGTGCCAAGCCAGAGGCCCCGATTTGGCAGCGTGTGCACGGAGAGCAGGAGCTCTGGAGCAGCCCCGGGGGTGGGGTACCCAGCTCTCCTGCCACCAGGGCAAGGGCTGTCCTAGAGCCGGGCTGGGGACTTCAGGCCATTTCAAGACATGGTGAAGAAGGAATCATCAGCCTGGAACAGAGCCAGCTCCTGCCACGGGCAAGAGCTACCAGCGCCTGCTTCCGAGAAAGCGGGGTGATCCCCTCAGCCCCCCACTTTCCAGCAGGGTAACCTCACTGAAACCCATCGGCCCTATGTGCATGCATGCAGCCAGAGGAATCGCTTCTCCCGTGGCCTAGAACGCAGCCACCTCTGGGGGCACGCTGCAACTCGGACGTCTCGCAGCCCCAGCCCCGGCAGGGAACGAGGAACATGAATGGCCAGCACTCGGCTCCCAAGCGAGAGTTAGGGCAGGACACAGCGTTTACGCCCCAGCTGCAGTGAGTCAGTGCAAGGTTCCAAACGAGGTCGGCACCTGGTGCGTGTTTGGCAGGCAGGACTCACCCGCCCACTACTCCCGATGGGCATGGGCAGTAGGTGGCCGCACTGGCCCGCTCGGCTGGGGGTTTGTCAGCCTGAGCCCCCTGACCCCATTGGGGCAGAGGGACCCGGGACTGCAGATCCCCAGAGCCAGCGAGGGCAGCCGGGAGCCCTGCCTTTGGGCCCAGGAACTGGGAAAGTGAAAGAGAAAGAAGAAGAACCAGGAAACTCCCCACCCAGAGCACAGGAACAGCGCGTGAGCTTGCCGTGCTGAGTTCAGCTGCTCCCCCACGCGGAGCGACAGCCCAGCCCCGCGAAGCGCTGGATTGCAATGGCGAGACCCGAATTCACGCGGGTGTAACCGGGCACCAGCTCCAGGTGACGTTCTGAAAGCAGCAGGACATGCTGTCCAATCGCTAGTGGGGACCCCCCAGGGCGAGTCAGTAACCAGCCTGCCCAGGAGGGAGCCGAACCCAGGCTCATCAATAAATAACCAACCTGGCCGCCCCTGCAACCTTTACCCACCGAGCCCTGGCCTTGCGGTGCCTGCTCCGAGGAGAGCCTAAACCCCGGCTCGGAGAGCCGCCTGTGCTGCCCCCACGCAGGGGGGGGGCGGGGGGGAGAAACACCTGCGCTAGGCAAGTCAGACACCCTCACGCTGGGACGGCAGGGAAGAACTGCTGGCACAGCCTCCCCTATGACATCACAGCCTCCCCTATGACATCGCAGCCCTGCTTGGTCAGACCATTCCCATTCCCCAGACACGTTATTCTGCCTCCTGCGGTAGCTGGCCTGCCCGAACAAGCTAGCCAGGCCCTGCCCAAAATCCTGCAGGGGGCCGGTGAGCCAAGGCCCCATTACTCCCCGGCAGTCACAGCGCTGGTGCTCCACACAGCCACAAAGGGGGCTGGCCCACGTCTTTTCCTTTTACACAGCCCTCCCCATCTCTCCCTGTCGGACTCCTCTGCTTCCTTCCCCCAGCTGTTCTCTGAATCAGAGCTGGGGAAAGTGGGTGCAGGGCTAGTCATGGGATGAACTGCCCCGCCCTAATGGCCAGAATCCAGCCCGCCCAACTGCATCCAGCCGGGTAGCATCAACTTTCCAGGGGCCTGGGCGCCCAGACCCAGCTCTGCAATTGGCTCAATCCCAGCTGCTCCTGAGAGCCCCTTTCAGACAGTCCTGCTTTGGGAGGGGGGTTAAATACCCTTTCAGAGGGGGGATCTGCTCCCCATTGGTTTGCATCTCCCTTGTTAACTGACCAAACAGGAGCCGGAGTTGAGGTGAACATGAGAGCTGGCAGACTGGGTCAGACCAACGGTCCATCTAGCCCACTCCCCTGTCGCCAGAGCTTCATGGGGAGAGAACAGAACAGGGCAATCGTGGAGCGAGTATTCTACAGCCGACTTCTAGTCGTCTGCGGTTCAGGGCTGCCCCAAGCATGGGGTTGCGTCCCTGACCAGCTTGGCTAATGGCCATTGGTGAATCCATCCTCCATGAATTTACGCCGTTTCTTTGAACTCAGTTATACTTCTGGCCATTGCAATATCCCCTGGCAATGAGTTCCACAGGTTAGTTGTGCTTCCTCTTCTTTGTATTAAGCCTGCTGCCTATTAATTTAACCGGGTCACCCCTGACTTTTGTATCGTGGGAAGGGTAAATAACACTTTCTCCACACCACTGATTTCATAGATCACATGCCCCACTGTGGTCTCTTTTTTAAGCTGAACAGCTCTAATCTTTTTAGTCTCCCCTTGGATGGAAGCCGTTCCATACCCTGGATCATCTTCGCTGCCCTCCTCTGAGCCTGTTCCAGTTCCAGTTCCAGTAGAGACCGTCTGAGATGGGACAACCAGAACTGGACAGTGTTCAAGGCATGGATTTATACAGTGGAATATGATATTTGTCTGGTTTCTTCTCTCTCTTGCCTAATAGTTGCTAACATACTATTACCCTTTTTACTTGAGCTGCAGTTTATGGAGAATTATCCACAGTGACTCCAAGATCTCGTTCGTGGGTGGTAACAGCTCATTTAGACCCCATCATTGTATATGTATCTATGGGATTATTTTTTCCAATGTGCATTACTTTGCACTTATCAATGTTGAATTTCATCTGCTATTTTGTGGCCCCGTTACCCACTTTTGTGAGATCCCTCTAACTCCTCAGTCTACTTTGGACTTGACTATCTTGAACAACTTTGGATTGTTCACAAACTTTGCCACGTCACTGATCGCCCCCTTTTCCAGATCATTAATGAATATGTTGAACAGCACAGGTCCCAGGGCAGATCCTGGGGGGGACTCTGCTGTTCACATTGCTCCAGTGCGAAAACTGACCATTTATTCCTGTTGTTCGTTTCTTATCTTTCAAGCAGTTACTGACCCATGAGAGGACCTTCCCCCGTACCCCATGGCTCCTTACATCCCTTAAGAGTCTATGGGCGAGAGGCCTTCTCGGGGTCGGTCTGAGACGCCAAATAGGCTCTTTTGACTGGATCACCCTTACACACATGCTGGTCCGCTCCCTCCAGGAGCCCTAGTAGATTGGCGCGGCGCGATTTCCCGTTACAAAAGCCGTGGTCGCTCTTGCCCCGGACACACGGCCTGTCTGACAAAATCCCGTTCTGTACCCGGGTTTCTACCCAAGGGGCTGGGAGGGAAGTTGGGTTTCCTGGGCTGCAACCCCAGGATCCCCGCAAGGGCCCGGTGACAACAGGGAGGCTACAGTAGCGCCCGGCCAGTCACCTGCCCCCCCCAGCCGTGCTGCCAGGTCCTCTCCTGACCCCTCCAGCGCCCCCGGTCCTCCCCCAGCCCCGTGCGAACCCCTCGCGCTGCCCGGGCCCGAGGCTCCGCCCCCGCCCCCGCCCGGGCCTTACAGCTTGTAACGCCCGCGCGGCGCCGAGCGCGCGCGCCGTGTCCCGGGTCGCTGGGCTGGGGAGGGTCAGCGAAGGGGGCGGGGCCAGGACGCCTGGGTTCTCCGGGGGGGCGGGGGGGGAGAACAGGCCTCGAGACCGGAAACAGGGCGGGAGGGGGCCGCGCCAGGCCGCCCCCCCCCGTTCCGCGGGGCGGTGGGGGGGGGGGCGGGATGGGGGAGGGGCCGAGCCCGGCGGGGGATCCACGACCCCCCCGTTCCGCGGGGCGCTGGGGGGGGGGCGGTGGGGGGGCTGGGCCTGACGGGAAGGGGGGGGCAGGCCCGATGGGGGGGGGGGCTGGGCCGCTCTCACCTGTCGTCTCCGTCACCGCCGCGCTCTGGGCCGTACGTGTCTTCGGCCTCGATCTCCTGCCACCCGGCCACGCCCCCCGCCTCCGATTGGCTCGCCCAGCTAGGAGTCCCGCCTTCCTCCGCCGTTCATTGGGTGCCCTGGCCCCTCCCGGAACTCGCCGCCTCCCATTGGGTAGCGCCGGGAGGTTCAGTCGCCGCCGCTTCCCATAGGCTGGCGGCCGCGCCCCAGGCGCCGCCATTGGCCCCTCGAGAACCAAAACAGGCGTCATTGGCGCGCGTCCATTAGTGAGGGCTCCTTCGCCGTGACCAATCATCGCCGTCCAATCAGCGGCTGCCCCACCCCCGCTGCCCTATTGGCCAGCGCCTCAGGGGCCCCCCAGAGGCCGGAGCGGGCGCTGCAGGCTCCGGCCGGGGCGCCCCCTGGCGGGGGTGGGGCGCAGGATGGGGGGAGGCAGCGCCCCCCCCCCCCGGGGGA